CAAGTCAATTGTTCAATTTTTTTCCTTTAATTGTTGTCGAACACTTAATTGCAGGCCTGCTCCTACGTTAGTGAAAATATGTATATACACTATAATTCTGCTTTTTGACTTGATTTGCATTCTTTTTTTTTTGAGGTCTCACAAAATTATGGATAACAAAATCAATCAGCCATTTTTCAGGAGGTGCTTCAAGCATAATGAAGTCAATCCTCTTCGTAGCAGCTTTCTATGCTGCCTTCCAACAAGGCCAATCAAACATAGCAGTTGTAAGTATATTAGGAATGCAATTTTAGAAATTATGCTATTTTAGACTAAAAATTTATCAAATTTAGGGGACTGGTGGAACCACCACATGCTGCACATGTTGTACAGTTCCCGCACAACAACAGCTACAACCAATCACAACCGCAGCTCCAGTTCCAGTACAACCCATGGTAGCTCGACCCTTTATGATGCCTATATGTTGTAAGTCTTAAGTCTCTTCTATGTTCCACAGCTATTTGAAAATTCTCTTGTTTTTAAAGGTCCATGCCCTCCGCAAGCCCAGGCACAAATGCCATTACCAGCACCAGTACAACCAGAAGTTAGAAATATATTTGTTCATATGCCGGCACCAACTACAACAAGGCGGCCAACGAATATTTACATTCATTTGCCTCCACCAGGAGCAATGCCATTCCCACCACCAATGTTACCACCGTTCCAATTTGTTGCACCATTAGGGGCTGGCGCCGCATCCGCCACACCTACTCCTATTGGTGTTCCGGACATCGTTCGAGGACCATGCGGTAAGCTATTTATTTGATGTCTTGACTGTAAAAAACTAGATGTGGACTAAAACAGTACAGTTGATGAAAACGGCTTTTCAGAAATTGGTAGTTCTCTGCTTGGTAAACGGTACAACTAATTTTGTTGATTTTATTAGCAAATTTCGATCTAATATTGATATTTGAAGGGGAAAAGAAATGCCTGTGAAGCTTACCAAAAATTTATAAGAAAAGAGAAACGTTTCCATTGAAAATTAATAATAATGAAGTTGTGTGGGGCACAATGAAACAACGTAATTACGAGATGACTTACCTGCTTAAACTTCCTAGAGCTTCTCCTATATTAAATCCAATATGGCTTCTCAAAGACATTTAAACAACCCATGCTAGCAAGCCTATTCGTTTTACATGATCTACAATATCCAGGAAAT